TTTCTCAATAAAATCTTTTCAACAAAAATCTTTTTTACACGATTTTGTAAATATTACAGCAAAACCGTGCAAGTCATATTTAATATTTATTTCTATCTATTACTTATACAAATAATTATGCGAGAGACGTAAACAATTTACTAATTTACATATTAACTAGATAATTAACTCTACATTGGAATATTATTACAACAAATATTACAATTAGTAAACTTGTATTGTAATCGTTATAACACGAATCATTTTGGAAATAATGTACATAATTTTATAATATTAAAAATATATTACATTAAAAATAACATTCTTCGTACAAATTTAAAGACATATTTTTAAATTATCTTAGATAAACGTTTAAATATTTTTCTCTAGATAATCATTTTTTTCTTAAAACTATTAAACAATTATCCATTTCAATTTTGAAATATGAAAGATGCGTACACATATTCTTTAAAATATTTAGCTAAGAGTGAAAGAGAACGCTTCTTATCTTTTATCTGAAAAATGCATCTCACAAGTGCAGCTATATATATTTGCACGTCAAATTGATTGTTTATATTCTTATTGTTTGAAATATGTGTATATGCACATTGAGTTAATTATCCGTCCCTTATATCGTGGTTTTGTCATCTCGTGAAGAATCTTTCTCCATTGTTGTCTCTATCAATTCACGATCGATATCGCCTTACAAGGCAGATTTTACGATGCACTTTGACCTATTGAGCCGCGTGCGATGGGACGCGCTGCGTGCCGATATTGTCAGAATATAACAGAAATTCCCCGTGGCGCGCATTATATTACCAGCATAATATTATCGCAGTAACGCGCTTCTGAAGCCGTTAAGGTCTGATAGGATCGCCTTGGTGGCGTCAAGGTCTGTTTGCGGCTGGGCAGGATGCGTGCAAAGGGTTAAACAACGGTCTAGTTATTAACAAAGTTTCCAAGTTTTCTCATTTGCACTCGTACGCTTCTTCGCATTGCACCTTGCATGTTCGTGTCCGCAAATCGCTGCATACATCAAGTGTCACTTTGTCGTGCCGTTTTTGACAGATGTGAGAAAATCTGCAGGGAAAATCTGAATTTATAACATATTTAATACACGAATAGCAAGTATGAAAAGCTCGCAAAACGTTGCATTAAAATAAAAGATTAAAAAAAAGTATTACGACAAAGTATTAATACGTTTTTTCGTAGACACTTGCAATTAGATTGAAAGTACATATATATGTATATATGTTAATAATTTAACATGTAGATGTTTTCTCTCTCTCAGAATATCAAGAAAATTTAGTAGAATTTCTATTATAAATGCTACATATTTTGTATGCACGTGACATCGCTTGAAAATGTAAAAGTATTTTATGTTTATGTCAGTATCTCTTTTTATGTAATATACTAAAACAATCTTTTTACTATTTATTTTTTATTATATTTTTTATTTGCGTATAATATGCTATAATTTCTTTATTTCACATTTTCTAAGCATTTAAATAATTTTCAAGATATATAAAATAAATCTGTACTTGTGGACCCCCTTAATTTGTAAAACACGAGAACTGAATATTACGCAAATATTATTGTTTATCCACTAAGCTGATTGATTGCCAATCATATGATTCGGATGAGTAAATTTGGTTCCGCTGGTGTGACAGCTTGACATTTAGCGATTAAATACCGTGAAATTATTGATTGAGAGCAAATAAAAAAATATAACAAATAAAATAAAAAATGTATACATATATATAAAAGCTATAAAATGAGCAACGCGCCAAATAATTTCGAATGCGTCTGAGATAATAAAAAGATAATAAATCGTCGTAATAAAAAATCCCAGACATACGTGAGATTTATGGTTAGTATCTATAATCAATTACGCACGATACGGCAAGGCGGATAGAAAGTGGAGTAGTTTGCGAATTACACGATGCATGCGTGTACGAGATTAAACAGCGAGTTTGCTGTTAAGAGAGTTCTCAAGTTCGTCCGTTTGTTCTCGTGTGTTTCTTCGCGCTGCATTCGCATGCTCGCGTTAGAGCGCATAAAAGCCCGGTACTTAGAGCAAGGCGAATAAAGCGACCGTTTTTTTCTCCTTCTTCTCTCTTTTTTTCTCTTCGACTCTTCGACAACCGTAGTGGAATAAGCGCGAGGAGAGCGCTCGCAGCCGAAGCTTTTGGACGCCTCTTAGCGCTTTCGCAGAAAATCGAATTACCCGTTTCGCGTTTGCGGTCCGCCGCGCCGACGGCAGGAAATGAGCATCCAGTCCTTCACTGGGAATGGGCATTTTCCGGAGCCGCTTCGACGTCTCGGACGACCTCCGCGACGTCTCGCCCGATCTCCGTGCAATTTGATTTTATCGCGGATGCGATCTAAAAACAAACGATCGTAGCGTTTTTCTTTTCCGTCCAATAGTTCCCATCAGACTAAAGTTATACGTGCTGAATAGTGTAATCATGGCTTTAAAACCGCGCGAGCGCGATATTCTGCAAATATCACTGGCAGACATGTTTGAAAGCGATTTGCAAATTTTGATCGCGTACAGTTTACGTTTTTGTTTTAATAATATATGAATGGTAAAGATGCAACTGCGATATTTTTGATTAGCTGAAAATGATGTATGATACATGAATTGGAATTTAAATTCTTCGCTCGACTTTTTATTGAAGATAAAATTTTTAAACACACACAATAGCGTGGCTTTAATTAATAGGACATAGGCATAATTTGAACAATACCTACAGTTTCGTTCTCGGAGACTCGTGCCTCTATTGTGAAACTTAGCTCGAAAGACCTACAGAAGCACCTACAAAGATGCCGGAATATGTGCGACGAGGCAAGTGTAGTGGAAATGTTGTCGGCTTTACCTTGCCAACGGATGAAAGGAAGAGAATATTGTAGAAAGAAAAGAGAAAGATGGAGAAAGATAGAGAGAGAAAGAAAGAGAGCAAGAGAGAGGCTAGACGCACAGGAAAGGGAAGTGCAACGAAAAGAGGAAAGGAGAAGGGAGAGTTAGAAACACGTTTCGCTTCCTGCCGTCACCTTGAAGCCATCTCTTACCGGTTTACGAGGACACCCACGAAAGTTTCGGTACACTTGCACTTGGAGTCATCCCTCGAAATAGTGCGCGATGTAGGTAGGTACTGTAATGCCTGTTACGAATACCAGCTAGAGCTGTGGGTTGGGTTTATGACTTGCACTACTCGTTCGCATGCCACCGAAAGACGTAAAACGCTTAAACTCCACGGCAACCTTTTTGATGGTGACTTCCATCCCCGGTATATCGCACTAATGATTCTTCTGCTCGTGACTTGAAACCAATTTTAGCTCTCCGTGTATCGTTTGTTGTTTCATAATTTTTGATTTGACAGATCTCGTGACGTAAACCACGATACTGAAAGACGCGAACTACATTCAAGTCAAAGAACTTTGCAATGGTGCATTTGATTCTGTTAAGTTTCGTACACAATTGCGATTGAAAAAGTAGCTTTTTGCTATAGAACATTTACCCTCGTTAGGCTTCTTCTAAAGGCGGTTGATAAACGAGGATATCTACTGATTGATCGACAGCCTGTTAAAGTAGTCTCTGCACGTGTAGGCTGCCCTGATGCGGTGAATCACAGGTCACGAAATCTTATCATCTGACACGGAAAAGTGGATAATCTTTTTCACCGTCAGACCGACTATCGATTTCAACCTATTTTCACTCCCCCACAGATTGAAAAAGCAACGTTTCGATTGAGCACGTGATTCCACTCTATACAAGTTCAATAGAGAAAGACGATAAATTTGGCTTCTTAATCTGGTATAGCTTGAAACTCACGTCTGACTATACAACGGATTTTACTACTCGCAATTAGAAACATTGATGTGACGTGTGATTTTACTATATAATATGTTACAAAAATAACAATTCTTGTTAGATACACTAAAAAATTTTTGATAAAATAAATATATATATTTTTAAAAATAATTTTATATTAAAAATTATATGAATTTTTTAATTTAATTTTCCTTTTAAGAATAATATTGTTATAATAAATTAATTATTTAAATAGAAAACAAAATTATTACATATCATTATATATTACTATATATAGTAATTTTGTCTTCTATTTAAATAATTAACTTACACTGAAAAAAAAATTTGGTTGAAATTTACCAAAAAAATATTCTGTTGTAGTAATTGTACATCATTGTACTGAACTCTCTGTTTTGATAATTTGAATAAGCTTTGTTTACATCAACAAATTATTTCGGAATATTTTAGTTACATTTATTTGAAGTTTTTTTTAGTGTATTATAGCCATATTATTCTTAAAAGGAAAATTAAATAAAAAAATTCATATAATTTTTAATATAAAATCATTTTTAAAATCCTTGGCTTAAAGAAAGAGAGAGAGAGAGAAATAATAGACTATACAAAAAATCGACAGTACATTAATACATTATGACATTTGAATAAAACAACTTCTATACTGGCTGAAATAACTGACGCTCGTGTTTAACATGATAATATCTATACATCTACATACTAATTAAACAGTACATTGGATCGATGAGGAGCTGAGCGCAATCGCTTTATATATTATACATAATAAATTAGTATTCCCCGAAAGTAGTGTAGATTGTATAAGTAGAAATGTAACTCAGCGTTTCTACTTGTTTAGCGCACTACGTTCGATCATTTATCTATTCTAAGGGGACTCTGGTGGTTGGATCCCATGGAACCGGCATTGGTGTCTACGTGTGTTTCTCGCTATCCTAAGAACGTGTCTCCTGTACGAGGAAGGCGGGTCTTACGGTTTGTGATGGCGGAGGGCACGTGAACCCCCGACGGGCGCATGCGAACCAACCCTAAAGCTCACGGCAGACCAGAAAGGATCACGTTCTCTCTGTCTCCCCTCTCCCCTCCCCCTCTCTCTTTCTTTCTCTCTCTCTCCCTCTCTCTCTCTCTCTCTCACTCTCTCTTTCTCTCTCTCCAACCCCATTTCTCCCTACCGCTCTTTCTTACCCTCTCTTTTACTCCAGCCGCCACCGAGCCGAGTAAACCTCTCGTGTGCCAGTCCGCACCGAGATTCCGGCGCGAATTGTCCTTTCTCGTCGTGGCGTCACGCCAAGTTCTAGATGGATGTCGCTGATCCGCATTATTGTGTCAGCGATTTACGTCGTCGCGCAGGTGCTCCTTGTTCGTCCATCCCTCGTGGAAGGTCAGTGATGATGAAGTTCGTTGTACCGCCATATATTGAGAAAAATCGCTGTCTCTTTAGTTTGAAAGCGGTCGCGTCCGTTGTGCGTGGATAAGGCTTCTTCTATGTGACTTATTCGAATATATACGGCGTTGTGAACCAATCTCGCAAAGTTTGTTTCGATTATTCCGCGCGAGGATTGATGTTAATTATTTTGTAAAACTATCGCGTAATATTGCGACATGACACGTCGCATTTAACATACCTCTTTTTTGTATTTGTAACTTTTAGTGCTATTATAATTTATTTTTTTAATATGTGCATGATACAAGATTACATTAAAATTATAAACGCGAACGCATATATGAAAAAAACGGTGTAATAAATGATTAAAAGTTACGTCTAAAATTTTTATTTTGCCGGAAACATATATTATCTTTCTCTTATATACAGTACATGTCAAACTGTATACTTTATATTAGATAAAGTAAGAAGTATACAAAAATATACAAATATTAATATTGAAATATATTACACGCATTTATTTTAAACATAAAATATTTTTTGGAATAATTTATATATATTTAAAAGAAAAAAAGAAATAGAAGTATTTGCTTTTTTCAAGCATGCATATGTTAATGTGTGTGTGATTGTTTTAGCCCACTCGAGTTTATAAATTACATTATATTATTCTTATTTATATATATTGTGATTATTTTATTTCATAATCATAAAATATATAAATAATAATAATAATCATGCATAACAATTATTTTATTGAAATAAGTGTATATGAGTGTTTTAACATTTATAACAATAATTGTATCTTGATATAATACTTATTTAATGTGACTAAAATTTCATACAAAATACGTTGGCATGTCATTCTGTGGCGAGCCGAGATTGTATGATTTCGGAATCTGAGTTGGTCGGCAAGTTTCAGCAGTTTGTGTGCTATAGGATTTCAGCATTAATTTAATGACATGCCATAACACCCCGTGACACAAGCGAAGTAATGACATGTCATGCGCGATAAACTATACATGATAGGTACACGACGCTTTCATTTTATTTACATGAACTGCTTCTGCCAAGAAAAGATAACTTAGCAGCACAGATACGTTTTGCAATTACCGGGAATTAAAGATGCATTCGATCTTTAAATTTATCAATACATTGTGTTTGGCATGAAACAGTGTTTCTTCCAATGTTTTTCGTTGAAGAATAGTATTTTGTATGATAATTTTATTTCTATTAATTGATTGTTGCAGAGTAATTATATTATTTATATACATTATAAATTAAAAAATCTTTTTGTAAGTTTTTTTAAATTTAGAGTTCTTATCAAGATACATTTTTTCCGGTAAAAGATGGCTTTATCAAGCAGCTCGTCGGCTTTGTTCAAACAGAAACTGTTATATGCATTTGTGATAACGTTATCACAGAGAAATTTAATTTCTCCTTCACATTTTTCCAATTTATTTTCACACTATGGTTTTACAAAATCAAGATAGCATTTCCCATATAGGATCAGTGATAGCATAAAGAACACGCGAAAAATTCGGTCGTTTCACTCGACTTATCTAACCATCGCGTTTTCGACGAAACTCGAGAGATTGTAGTCAATGTACATATTGGGAGGGTGAATAACCAGCCCTGTGGATATCTCTAACTCCCGAGCCTCCCTTGGCCCGAGCCCTCGATTTTTCTTACCAGCGCGATTATCCCCCAATATCCTGATACATTATTTATATCATCTATAAAACCTTAGAGTTTTCATGAAGGCGAGAAACCCCTCCCGTACTGAGGAACTTTTTTCACATCCAATCCCTGGCAGGATCCTTACCCGCCGACAATAACGAACGAACGAGGCGGCGAGTGCGAGTGAAGCTTTTCTACTTTCCTCGCCGTCCTTTTTCTCTTCGCTCACTTCACTCCCTTTTCTCGGCGAACTCGTCTCACCGAGTCGGAAGCTTTCCCGCATTGACTGCCAAAAAAGTCTTGGCAACGGTGCGACACTCATTTAATTTAAGGATAACAAAGCGTTATACGAGACAAATCCCTGGATTAGTTTTATGGCGTTCCTATTTACACTTTAGTCAGGGAATCACTGTGCTTTATTTCACCATGTGTACATTTTCAGCGCGATAATTCCATATAATGTACACTGAATAAACAAAATGTTTCTCTACAAAATCGAATAACATGTAATTTGTAATCTATTATTAGGTAATTTGTAGTTTAACTGTTATGTAACTTGTAATGTAGTTTTATAAAATTTGTGTTACTTACATAACAAGTTTATAAACTAAAAATTATATTCTTATATATATAAATTTTTTTTTTATCTAATTCTTTTAATAGATAAAGTACTATTTCAAAATTCTAGATAATAATAGAAATCAGCGATCGTTATTCGCTAATTACTAGCCATATTGTTATAATGTGTTTAGCTTGCTTTCTTGTGCGATCGATATCAATTAACTGTAATTAGTCTAGGAAATAAGTGATTTAATGCTGATAACAGCAAGAAAATCAATTAAATGATCGAAATTCTATTTGTACAACAATTTGCAATATATTAGAATTTCTAATAATCTACAAACATCTGCAAAATATTGCATTTTACAATAAAACGTATAAAATTGAGCATTAAATTTGTATATAAATATATACGCAATCGAAATATTTAGATTTATTTGATTTTACCAATCTTAATTTTGATTTTAAAAAGCAATTGCTAAATTAAACTTAATCTATATGTTATACACGAATAAATTTATATATGAATTGATTACAAACTCATAACATTAAAAATAAAATCTATTTCAAAGAATTATAATTTTAGATTTTTTAATTATAAAAGCAGATGGTTATATTGACATATAAAAGCAGATGATTTATAAACTGATGTACATACATATTAAAGAAATAAATATAGAATCCGTTTAATTTTGTTGGACAAAAATTAATTGATTATATTCAGGCAAACAATAATACACATTCCTTGTTTAAAAATACTTTAGAATATCTTGCTGAAATTATCTTGGATATCGTCAAAATTACCTTCAATAGCATAACGCAGATCGTGAATCACGTATGCTTCGGTCTTATGTATATCCCAAATTAGACTATGCCCATGATTGACTCATTCGAATCGATGCACACTATTGTTCGCTGTATGCCATTGTATGTGCACAGTATAGTGCAGAGGGAGATCATTAATATACAACGCAACAAGGCGACATTTAGCATTTGAAAATCAGATGAGCGATCTACCGGGATATCGATTCGATAGATCACTTGTCACGAATTGCATCGCGAATATTACTCATATAAACGGAATTACATTAAATTTTTCAATATGATAAAGAATATGTTAATACATAACATGGGAACAATATGGAAATATCTATTTTATTTTAATGTAAATAATATGATAATAAATTATAGACAGAAATATAAGTATTATTAATGTTCAGAATTTTTGACAATATATTTATAAATTTTTAATTATTAATAAACATTGAGAGAGAAAATAATGCATTAATTAATAGTAATAAGAATATAATATATTTGTAACTATTTGGATATCAATTAGAGAAATAATTATGAGGCAACTTAAGATTCATGCCTAATCTATACGTGCATAATATAAAAGTAATTTATTACACAATTATGTAAATCTATGTATTATATATTTAAAATAATAGAATGCATTGTAAGCAAACAGTAATGACAATTGTTATCGTCAAACTAAGTATAATTAAAAAAAATTAAAGTAAAAATTTAATAAATATTGATTCTCTCTGCAATATACATTAAATATTTGTTATTTGTATAACATTGTTTATATTGGAAATGTTTAGGGAAGAACTGACATTCGAACATATGCACAAAATATCGATAGGAAATAAACGAGCAACCAGTTGCGTTTCACTTTGGAAAACGAATGGTACGTAATGCGAAGATAGTTCGGCGTAGATATTTCGTTATTATTTCGTTCATTAGAAACAGGTATTGATATCTTAAGTAGTCGAGGCAGACGTATGGCTTGTCCGCCTTCTTTAATCATGTAACAGGATAATAGCGCTATACAAAGGAAATTTTCCCCCACTATCGGCTTGCGCACGTTCATGATTTCACAAGGTCCTCTTTATTTCGGGTATATCGTGGACAAATGCGACTAACGTATCGAACTTCCGTCCAGGCTAATTTATGGCGTTGGGATTAGGGGAGTAAAATAGAGAGGGTGAGGCCGGAAAATGGCAATTCTGCAGTGCGGGTAACTATTCCCCTTGCCCCTTCCTCCATCACCCTTTCTCTAGCTCGCCGAATGGGTGCAAACGCTTAAGAGGCGAGCGTTTCTCCCGGCTACGATAAAATATCACTGCTAAGAAAAAGAAACGATCACCCCTCTCTGGGAGTTGACAAAAACAGGGTTAATAAAACTCGAGGAACGTCGCCCCTCCTCCTCTCTGATCGAATTGAGGGGTACATTCGAACGATTATCTTTCCGGTTACGTAGCCATACACGTGCCTGAATCTTTTCGTACCATTGTATTAAAACGAGACGAAAAAAGAGTAGGAAGCGATATATATTTGTTGTATTAAGCGCGATGCGGACGGAAAATACTCAAGGGAAAAGTTGCATAGCGCGTAACATCGCTGGTTCTCAACGAGCTTGAAGAGTAACCTCGAGGTACATAATAAAATACATATTTTCAATATAATTCTAACAATGCGTAGCGTTCTGAGGATTTTACATACGCCCCCTCAATCTCATTAAAATTGATCAGGGAGAACTTTTATTTTATATACACATGTTGTGTTCGCATATTAGATCCCTTCTTAAATATATCAAATATTTATAACTTTAAAATTTATTTTTGTTACTATATATGCTTCGTTTACTAATTGGGCTTGAACAAAGCATCATTTATCAGAAATTACCTCTATTTTATGCACGGAGAAACAGAAGAGTTAAGCTGAATCATGCTCAATTAATCATGCTTATTTGG